GTTTATCTATCATCATTCAACTTGAAATTTTCTTTATAAAAATACACACTATTTCGAACTACTTTGCATCGATATAAGTAATTTCAAACATTTCCATCTTTTACACATCCCGGCATCCCTTACAGACTATTTGCTAACACTACTAACATCATTATTTTAATATATTTACATTAGTTTTTTTTTTCTACACACTTCCTGGGAATAATTTTGGAATATATGCGAATGAAATGCTACCTCAATGATGTTGACCGAGACAAAAGCTTGAAATTTCATCAATGATCATTGAAGACCAGCCATACATTGGCCCAACTTTTAATGCTGGCAATCACTTTAGTTAACAGATTTTACTTTGCTTTCAAAATTTACAGCATTGTTTAGGTAACGCGATTTATGTACGAAGGACCACAGTTGAGGTTTTCAGAAACTGGAGAAAGGTTTATAAGATTGTGTAAAATGTAAGAGAACAGCAGCAACTTTTGTTTTCTTTTTCTATTTTCTTTTGCGAAGAACTGATATGAATGTGAATAGTCTAAATATAATAAAAAGAAATAATATCGATGTATATACTTTAAAACTGACCCAAATAAACTTTTCACGTGTACATATTATGGAACCTTACTTTTAGTCTTAAGAAAAATTGCTGAGTATAAAATTATAAACGACATTCTGTAAGCCTAACTGGAGCTTACGTTACACTAATAGTTGCTAGTTAGTAGTAAAATGTTCCCTATAGTAATTGACTTGGAAATAGTGGATTTTTGGTTAGCGCTTCATCCAATATTCTTAAAAGCAGTGGTGCTGAAGATAAAGGGAAATTGGATCCGACAGATCCCGGTAATTATTAGCTACGTTCCCGTAGAAAAGTAAAGCTTAGTCGGGATCATATGATTACTTATTTAGAATACAAATATTCCTTAATACGAAGTTCATAGCCTATATTCATAAGAATATGTAATTTAAGGTAGGAATGTTGAAATCATTTGAAGATTACCGCCTACTTCACTGAGAAAACGTCAGTCACTAGACCCGTCTTTCTAAAACAGGGATCTGTTTCTACTGCAATTTTTGTGCTGATTAATCATTTGCTCAAAATCTGTGCCATGAGAAATATTTTGTAAAATTACGTTAATGTTAGTGATGTATATCTATTTCTGACAGGATTTGGGTTTTAATGGTGCTTCACTATAGTTTGTGTGACGACACTTAATGCTAATGCTAAAGCAATACTTACGTCTTCTTGCCAACATTTGTTCCCCAACACCAACTGTTTTAAATGAACTCTTATGAAAAATGCTCACACACAAATTTAAAATATGGATACGATACACACATACACACACAGACTCACAGGACCTACCACCACACCGCTTTATATGTTTGTGTTAAAGAATCATAAGCAAAATTTTGGGTCTACAACAGCGCTAAGCAGAAATAACAAGTATATTAAATTTTACCTTTTTTATTTTACATTAAAATCATACGATTTTTTGTTTGATTTTGATAAGGCACAGACTGTTCACTAGTATTAAACTGTACATGTACAAATTCTTTAACACAAGCAAAAACTTCGTCAATCAGACATTAATTTAGATGGACTAAAATAATGGCGATTGAGTTGTAAATCTACCAAAAGCACTACTCGGGCAAAAAAAGAAAAACCAAAAATAAAACACACAGTAAAACTGCAATGAACTGGTATTATTATAAAAAAGCAATTATACAACAAAAATAATTCAAAACAAAACGATGTACATTAATTTAAAGAACAATTGTTTATACAAATAATTAAAAAAATATAATAATTATAACAACAAACATCGACAAAATATATTTAAAGACAAAACATTGTTTCAAATTTAATCAGTCCTCAAGCTTTAGAAATGCAATTTTAAGAATGAAATGGTTTTCGTACAAAAAATCATTTTTATTCATTATATTATGCAAAAACACAAAAAATTAATTATGAAAATTAAATTGTATTATATCATAAAGAAACTTAAATAACCAATGAAGGTTAATTAAATAAAACTCATTACTGTCATAATCAAAATAAAACAAAATGTTTAAAATAGTGAATCACACAGCATTACATTAATGAAAGAACGTGTAGTTGTCATAATTTGCAAATCTTATTGTAGAAATTTTGTTTCACTATTCTATACTTATTATAAATATAATACGTTGAAACGATCTCAGTTAAGTAGAACCGTATGCGATGTTCGCAAAGATATTATTTGTAAAAACTGCAACAAAAATTTCCTAAAGCAAAGTAATGCGTAACGTTTAGAAATCATTATTGCAGTTTATACCAAACAAATATTTGCGAGTTTATTTCTAAACTAACTTGAAACCTGATATTTTGAAGCCGACTTCAGTTTAATCAATCGAATTACCGTTAAAAAAACATAATTTTTTCATGTTCCATGAAATCAAGTTACAATTTTAATAACAATTACTCGATTGAGAAAAGTGAGGTCGGAAAGTTTTACGACGACTAATTCCAAATGAATATTATGATGCAACTTACATTCGAGTGTATCACAGTAGATTAAGTGAAATACAACAATTATATCCGATCTTAGTAAATGTTACAATTTATTAGGAACAGGGCAGTCTATACATAAAATCATTGGTGATAAATCACTGAAATTTGGACACTAAAGATTGGACAGTCTATTCTACTTCACCTAATCTAGTGGGTGCTGCGATTGAAAAAGGTATTTATCTACTCGATCGAAGACACGTCTAGATGATGTACAGAGTAAATACACCGTGGAATGCACAAATAATAGAAACAATATGAAATCATTAAGAGAGCTTTCTTCAAGTGATCTTGTATTTTCTTTGCTCAGTGCAAGCTTGTTAACGATAAAACAGACTAAAATGTAATTAAAGTAATAAACAATTCATCGCTCGTAAAAATTCAGATTTGTTTTAATCTCAACAAGTTATTGAACTTGCACTATAATAAAAAGATGATATCATTGAGTCATTGAGGGCGACATTTAGATAAACCTATGATTAATGTATAAAATCAGAGTATGGTACATATTTACAAACAACACTAAATATCACTTATTAAATCACAACATGGTTTTATGGCACATGTCAAACAGGTATTGCGGTTGAACAACAGTGCACAAATCTGTTGTCATCAGTAGACGTGGCTTCAATGTACACAAATAAAAAAAAAGAAATCGAGATAATTGAATTAAGAACAAAGGAATATCACCAAATTTAAAAGCGTAAACCTAAGTGATTAAGTAATGCAGATCAATATATGAAAAGGATCATCGATCCAATAATCATGGACCGCATCAGATCTCATTATTGTCATAGATTCAGCAATAAAAATACTAAAAACCATTATTAACTAAGAAATCAAAACTAATGAAAATCAAACTAAAATAATTCTGCTAACACACTCAAACACACGGTAATGTAATAAAAAAATAGTAATAGCATAATATTCATAAAATACAAAGAAAATAAACGTTACACATGCACCGTATAATACTACTGCTACAAAAATAATGTTGTTTTCGTATAAAAAATATCTTACCAGAATAACAAATTGTATATTTATTTTGTATATCGAGCAAGCTATAATACTCTAGTAAGTAGTAAAAAGCGAATACGCAATTCGCATAATGGTGCTCTATCATCAAATAAAAAAAAATCTAGCGAGACAAACATTTTGTATGTGCTCTAATAGTTACTACCGTGTCCAATCACTATAAAATCATTCAAGTATTACTAGATTTGTATAAAAACGAATACCTAATATTATTATCAACCAAATGTTACTAATTGTTATAAAAAAAAAACAACGAAGAAAGGAATTTACGGGTCCGTGGGCTCTCAGTGACTAGGCGGTAATGACGTCATCTATTAGAATATAGGAAGCTGTCTTCCAATTAAATCGATTATTAAAGTATAAAAACCATAATACAGTTATATCGTTATCTAAAATGCTTTATAATACTCGAGGTAAAGTCAGAGAGACTGGCGTAACTAAAATTTAAAAGTAAAAAATGTTTGAGAAAAACATTTCTATCACTCGCGCCACCTCGTGATGGATGTTGAATGAATTTGGTTCTAAGATGTCTATAGTCCTTCTGTAGAAGACACAATAGAATCTATTGAAGCATATTCTCAAGAAACGCCGCAGTCAACTTTGTCATTGATAAAACCCCTAACATCACATTTCCCTAGAATTTTTGTAACTACATTAAAAAGGGTAGTAACTAAAGATTGTCCATATCAGCTCAATCAATTTAACACTTACCTAATAATAATGTAACAAATTCTTATTTAATTTCATAATCATATTTCCATCGACACAGAATAAGTGCTAATTAAAAACAGGAAGTGCCATTGTGCCGAAGAATCTTACAACTAACAACAATACCGCTCGATGCTCTCTTATTACGATAAAATCACACGCTTAACGCCTAACAATTTTTAAGTATTATAATAGTTAAAATATTGGTCCAACAAATGGGCTAAATAATACAAATGCCCTTAATATTCATCCCTAATTTAACGACGTGGGATATGAAAAAATATTATTCAATAGTTTAAAAAATAATAAGGGTTGAGAACCGTTTGCGTGTCTTGATCTAAACAACGGAATAATCTCTTTCCTTGAAATAGGTACTCAAATAACAATGTCAAATACTACAACTAATCTCATTACAGTTTCGTTTAGAAATAATACATACAGAGATCTCATGCCAAACATATGTAAAGGACTTCCATTATTACGATAATTTGATTGATCACATCGAGACAGTCGCAACCACTGTTACACTCTCACTTACAAAAGGATAGTAAGTTCATTAGAAAACACTTTGAAACGTCACTTGAACTAATCAAAATTGACAAGTTTGGCCAGAACCGTTATTACATCAATTATATGACACTAGACGTTTTCGATTGTCGCTTTTTGGCTTGTAGTTTATCGGTCATTCAGATCTCCTGTGATCGGGACGGGTGGCTCACATACCTATAGGCGGGACTTGGACGTAGCGATAGATGTAAAGTCGATAATCTTTACTGGCGAGAACAACTGACCCGTCGTCCATAAGTGCGACGTCAAAGCATTGAGCGTGTTTTACTTTGCTTTCCAAAGCTGAAACCAACTGCCCGTCCTGGGTGAATATTGTTAGATTAAAATTATTGTGGTTGTCAGCTATTAAAATTTCGCCCGATGCATTTATACCCACGCCTATGGGATAATTAGTTACTCCCTCACCACCGATCTGTCTTAAGTAAATACCCTCATAGTTGAATACTTTAACGCAATGCGCACGATTGTCGCTGATGAAAATTTCCTGCTTGTCATTAACCACGACACCGTTGGGGAATTCTAAGTGTTTTGAGCACCCGAATTTTTGTAAAACATTGCCGACTTGATCGAATATTATAACGCGCATCACTTTGCATTCGACCACAACGATGCGTCCTTTATTGTCAACCGTAACGCCTCGAGGATGTTGCAGTATATTGGCACCAAATTTGCGTACGAATTGACCATACTGATTGTAGATTTGAATCTGATGTGTGGGAGATCTTTCAGTGACGATTATGTCACCTGAAGTGCGCACAACAGCAACTCTATTTGGATAAAGAAGTTGACCATCCCGTTTACCGCATTCACCGAATTGAAATTTGAATCGACCCTCCTTGTCGAAAATCTGAATCCGGTGGTTGTTAGTATCGGCAACAATGATATCGTTTTGGGCGTTGACAGCAACTCCGCTTGGTTCAGTAAATTGACCTTCCATGACTCCAAATTCACCAAATTTGCAATGGTAAATCATTTTTTGTCGTTTAATTTGTGACTTCGGCGGGAAAATGGCAGTAGAAATTAATTTATTCGTCAAGTCAATAATAGAATCTGCATGTGTAGCGGTTGTAAGTGAATAGGGATCGGCGGTAGCAGGTGGGAAAAGTGTGTCACAACCACCGTTCGACCATTTCTCGTATGGATTAATGCCATTTAAGTTAATATCTCCGATCGCAGAAGAGAATGGTCCAAGACTATTTGCGCTGTTGAATCGTTTCGAAATAATGTTTGATTCGAATGGTGATGTTGATTGGCTTGTAGGTCCCAGTAATCCGTTCGTGTATGGGCGATCTAAAACACCGTTAAGTCCTGCAGGGAGATGAATTCCACCGTTAAGACTTCCAGAACTTCCATTAACGCTGCTACTACTTGATGATGAACCTCCATTTATTAAAGATCCATTGGTAGGTCGTGCAATTGGTGGTTGCTTAGACGGACCAACATTTGCTTCGGAGCTAGAGCGTACATATCCAAAAGTGTTTCGTACTCCAACTTGAATAGCTTGGTAATTTGAAACAAATTCAAGTTCACATGCAGTTTGGACACTTTGTTCAGGGTTTGAACTCATAAGTGATTGAAGTTTAGTGTCTAATAATTTTCTGAACATTAATATTTCAGCTATATTAGCGCATTTCGTTAGCCGTTCTACAAAGTCGCAAGTTTGATAAATTTTGTCAACTGTTTCTTGAGCCTTTTGTCCGACAACAGTCAATGCTATTTGTTTTGTTGAAAACACACTTTCAAGTTCTTTAAGCAACTCTTGCTTACGCTCTTCGAGCATAGAGCGGTAGAATTGGAAAGTATCGTTTATTTCATTTTGTGCTTTATGATACTGCACTTGTAGTTTGCCAGCGGCATGTTCTACTGTTTTTACTACGTGCCTTATTTCAGTTGCACGAGTTTTGGCTTCATTTACAGCTTGTTGCATAAGCTCTAATTGTTTAGGTCCAGCGTCAGACAAATGTTCACAGTCGTGTAGCGCAGCTGGATGTTCAATAATAGTACATTCTTTGCATACTGGTACAGAACATGTCCTACAGAAGTATTTCAGGATATCGTTTTTGTGTCTTGGGCAAAAAGCGGTCTTGTCACCACTTGTTGTTAGGGTAGAACCAAGCATACCCTTGTCGTCTTTAAGATCCGTAAAAGTAAGCACACGATGACCTTCGAAACAATGCATGAATTGGTGCGCCATGACGCAGTTGGGACACAAGAAATTAGCGCAATCGACGCAACGCGCAACAGCGTCCGATTCTTTTGATTTGCAGCCCGTGCAGCGAGCTGATGGTGAATTTGTCTGTCTTGCAGTTGGAAGTAGATCGGCGTCCTGTTCTACCGCTGCAGCAATGACAAGATTTGTGAGGAGTCCAGGAACACCTGCAGCTGGTAGTTGGCTGTCTACGCGGCAGGTGACGCAAGTAACCTTGTCAGGGTGCGTTTGTTCTCTCTCCAAACAACCCCGGCAAAATGTGTGAAAACAGTTAAGAACTTTTGGGTCGACGAATGTTTCTCGGCAGATTGCGCAAGTTGTGTCGAGTCCGTCGAATTCTCTGAGGTCGCATACGGCGGAATCACTCGCAGGTGGTGATGAACCACTCAAAGTCAGGGGCGATAAGGAGCCACGCTCCAAGGAACCTATAGAGTTGGCACCGGGCAGCGACTCAAGGGACGGGGTGCGCGAGGCCATCTTCAGGAAACCGGCATCCCTGAAACAAGAAACACAAAATGTTAATTGTGACGTAATGGTACAACATTGAATCATGTTTTTTTTTTAATTTTAGGTCAAATTAAACCTTTTTTGGTATGAAGGGATAATAAGTTGTAATTTTATATCAAAATTCTTCAATTCTTCAAAGAAATTATCAAAACAGGTTTTATAAAAAAAATATTTTTGTTAAAATACATGTAATTTCAAACATAAAAATAGCAATACTTTAAAAAACAAAAAAGGCGTCACAAAGATTCGCCAAGTCTAACCTACAAACCGTGCAGAAACACCGTGACCTAGCTAGGGTTGTACTAAGTATTTTAGAAATTTTCAGAGACTAATAGAATGAACGTGAAGCTCCAAAAACACCAATAAAACGTTGTCTAGAGGCTAAACTGCAGTATAGCGTTTCGGAAATGTTTACGGGGTTTCGATGCAAGCGAGGGTGGGGTTGCTATAGCAACCCATAGGGCAACGTTAGGGGATACTGCGCGTTTATTTGAATTAGGGCGAGGGTGGGAATTTATTTTGGTTCCCCAGTTAGTCGCTATCTGAGGGGAGATGAGGTGAACGGCCGTGCTCGTGTCAATAGTAGGGACTTAGCTATTATTAAGGAGACGATTCTCTAAATTTAGACGATGGTGGTTATTAGAGGTGAAATTAACGTTTTAAAATTATAAGTTATGATTTCACGTTTGTCAGAATCCGGGGTTGTTTGATTGGATCACTATTATCCATTATAATTTTATATACATATTATTAGAAAATATTAAACAAAATCTTACTTCCTACATAACATTGCTTGCATTATTGACACTGAGATATGAACTTACATAGTAATTATCATTTAAATAACCTACGTCAACAAATCAAATAACGCAACTTCAAATTTATTTTAAAACGTAAATAAATTTCATCCGTTATTAGATCGTTGTTGAAATATCAAATAGAAATTAATAAATACCTACTAATCATAAATAAAATGATAGCGGTTTGCAGTTGTGCGCGCATCACGGAAAAACTACTGGATAGATTGCAATTAGGTTTTCTAATTTTTATTTCTTAGATACTTGGCCCTTATCTAAACAAAAATTATTCGATATCTTAATTTATATATAAAGTTATTAAATTTTTAAGAAACAACGATTTCATAAGCACTACGTGTCAAGTGATGTGTGTTTTCTTTGTTAATATATCAAGAAACGCGGACGAAATCGCGGGTATCAGCTAGTTTTCCCTATAAATATTATTACCTTAACCGATGAAACCTACACATAACGTTCAACAATATATCACAGAAAGCCTATCTGTCCAATTCCAGATCTAGTACGTTGATAGTTTGGCAGTACAAAGGTACATAATTTTAAAGGGTTGACACAAACAATAAATAATGACTTTTAAATTTTTGGTTGTTTTGTATGCATGTTCGTTTCTATGTAATAATGAAGGTATCACTTCCTGTTCATCTTATTTTTTGGCTACTTTAAAGAATTCTACTAACATAATGTGAATCCTGGATGTGGAAATTTGAGATATTATATCAACCGAATTGTAATAAATGTGACCCACACATAAATTATATGACGTCATTATAAATTACATATGGCGGATTTAATGTGTCAAAAACGTGCGATTACAATCTTATTTATTAAATACTAAATAAGATTGTAATGTGAGTTATTATAATGAAGGTATTAATGAAAACATTTAAAAAGTATATATTTAGTATCTGACACATATCGTTTACTTATCTTCACGCACAATCCCTGACGGGGTAGCCAGAGAGAACAGATCGCCAAGTGTCACGATCCTTACATATCTCTTTCGCTTCTTTCAGATTCATTATCTTCTTCATACATGCACGTCTAGGTATCCGAGTACTCTTGACCCTACCCTCTTCGAGCAATTTGCTCACATGGTCTTCGAAAGTTAGTCTCGGTCTACCTCGACACCTTTTAATATTAACTTTCGCGCTATATATTTTCTTCACCATTCGGTCTTCACTCATTCGCTCAACGTGCCCAAACCACCGAAGCACGCCCTTATCAATTTTTGTGATAAGGTCATCTTTCAAACCTGCCATATTGCGAATCTCTTCGTTTCGCTTTCGGTCGGCCATAGTAACGCCGCACATTTTACGAAGAGATCGCATCTCCACTGCATTCAACTTACTTTTATGCTTCTTCTGGCATACCCAGGTTTCGCTGCCATATAACAAAGTCGGTACCAACACTGCGTTATGTATTGCAAGGCGTGCACTCTTCGCTACGCCTTGCCTTTTGACTAACGCAGTCAGGGCACCATTGACTTTGTTCCCGGCAGCGACACGCCTGTCCACATCTAAATCACATCTTCCATCCCGGCTAAAAGCACTCCCCAAGTATACAATTTCATTTACCTGTTCTAGACATTCCTGATTTACCCATATTTCACACTTCGTTCTCTCTTCGTCCCTTTCAAATACCAGAACCTTAGTTTTATTAGCATTCAAACGGAGACCTTTAATTTCACATTCCTCTTTCATACACGTGACTAATGCCTGCAGTTCTGCCTCTGATGGTGCAATAAGCACTGCATCATCAGCATACAGCAGACAATTTACTTTTATGTCACCCAATTTCACACCCAAACAGCTATCTTTCAGCTTCTGTAAACAGCTGTCGAGATACAGTATGAACAGCCAGGAAGACATGACACAACCCTGTTTTACGCCCGTTTGGACGCTAAACATGGGTGACAGGTCATGCCCTACCCGCACACAGGCTTTACAGTCACAGTAAAGAGACTGCACAGCCCTTAGCAATCGGCCATCCACACCATACCCCGGCAACAGTTCCCACATTTTCTTCCTTACAACCTTATCAAATGCTTTCTCAAGATCCACAAAAGCACAGAAAATCTTCTGGTTAACAGCCAGAAGCTTTTCCGTGATCATACGGAGAGAAAACATTTGATCCGTGCATCCTCTTCCAGGTCTAAATCCGCATTGTGCCTCCCATAGAAATTTTTCCGATTTCTCTTGCATCCTACGTGTCAAAACCTTCGAGTAAACTTTACTTTGCTCGTCTTTAATATTACAGCTCTTCACAAGTCCACTTCTGTAGATAGTTCTCACCCAAAGAATGCCACAAACTACGGTTTTGAGCCACCTGCATCTATTTTAAAATATCTTATAATTAAAAATTATATAACATGGATGAGTCATGTTGCTGCTATATCATGGCTGCAGCACCAAATATCAGCGTCAAATACCAGCTTAATGTTGCTGTGTTTCGTATGATGAGTGTAGAGAACCGGAGATCCTTTTTACCGGTAACAAGGCATTCCATCTTAGTCCTCAAGGGTGACAAGGCATCAGCATTTTGAATCTCAATCGAGGAAAGCTGTAGATGCCTATGGGCCGCAGCATCCACTTATAAAAATCCTAAGAAGATTCTTAAATACTAAAATAAACATTTTTGTGATTTCTATTCCAATGCATTGCGTGATTTTCAAGTTCAATTCGAGTGGAAATTATAAAATAGGTCCGATAATAATCATCGATAGCCTTGCGTCAGTTGTTGTTGGAATTTACGTGATGGATGCAAACGCTTGCAATACATTACACCGGCTCGTTCTCCTATGACGACGAGGCGCATTGCATTGCCCATGCACTCGTGCATACGAAATGACCGCCCGTTGACAACTAATGAAGATATTGAACTCTGTATTCGATATGGACGTTGCTGCGAATTTCGAAACGTGGATTTGTTTACGTAAGTTACAACACGTGTGTGATGTACTAGTGATTGTTGCCAACACTTAGCTAGGTTTTATAACAAATAGAACATAATTGTATATTAGTTTAGTTAAGGAAATTGTTTATAGCATGTTTGTGTAATTTCGTGACGGCATTGCCAACAATACAATACTGTGAAAAACATACATTTTTTATGTAACTCAGCGTTAGTGTACTAACCTAATAAACAGATAGTAGAAAGTAACTTTTATGAGTTAGATGCACGTATATATATATACCATATGACCAAAAGTTTTTGAGTTATTATTTTACCGTGTAGTGGCGCTGTAGGAATATTCACTACCCCATGTGTCGTAAGAGGCGATAGAGGGAAACAAACCAGGAGATGGGCAGCAGCGTCTTCCCAATATCAACTAAAAATTAAAAACTGCGGCTGCCAACTCGCTTGCCAAGCGTGGCAACTATGGGAAATATCCCCCTATTAGGCAATCTAATGGGGAGGCCCGTGTTCAGCAGTGGATTTTAATAGGCTGCAACGTTAACGGTATGTATGTTACTATAGTAAATTATGTTCGATTTCAGAACGCAATTACACAAATCTAGATAAAGACTAATAAAGTCAAAATCTTGTGAAGAGAAACGGATGATGGAAAAACTTCGGATAGTTTTCTAGTAGCAACTCTTCATTTTAGCAAATTAATTAATATAATAAGTTACAGAGTTTGTTTCCTGCTTAGAAGTTCTCTCTTGAAATATTTCCGCCATCAAGCAACATTGCACCAACAGGACCACAGCTGTGTTCCGGTTTGAAGGATAAGAAAGCGATTAAAATTTAAAGGTTGCGGTCATGTTCTTTGAAGTCGTTTGCAGGTGTCCATGTTCTGCAGTAGCTACTTACTATAAGGCCAACCGCCGTTCGTCACTTTAATATTATAATCAATTGTAAATGTTTTACTAGAAATATATGACACTTCTTTTGTTGTTAGAGTAATCTACACATGCATGTTATAAATTTAAGTCCCTCGCCGCGTATTTCTGTCTGTCTGCGTGTTAGCGATAATCTCAGAACTACTGTTGTGTTTTTCTACCGACTACAAAAAGGAGACGGCACTCAGTTCGACTGTACGTATATTTTTCTTTTTTTTTATGTTACCACTTAACTTTTTTCTGGGTGAACCGATTTCAATGATTCTTCCATGTGGTCCCATATAAATTTGATAAAGGTTTGACCAAAAGTTTTTGAGTTATTCTGAATAATTTATATTGAAGTCGCTTGTACAACATTTTTAATTAATTATTTGGTTTTCACCAATAGACAGTCTGATTTTTTTTGCAAATTAGCTTTATTATTTGTCGATTAAGTCAGAAAAATAAACATGACCCCTGAGAGCTGCCAATAACGTGCGCTAAGTAAATCGATAAAGTTATATGAAAATAATTTGTGGTGGAATAATCCTTCTGAAAGAGTAGTAAAGAGAAGTCTCTCTATGTCTATCTTTTAACTTAAAGTACAAATCATTATCCAATTATATATATATATATATATATATATATATATATATATATATATATATATTACATACAATTCTCTCCACACTTCTGACTGGGATAGCACCTAGAGAATGAGCCCTATTACCTCAAAATTAATGAACAATTGAAACACAAGCTACCTTTGCTGATTTTTAAAGTTAAGTATGATATTCCATTTTCAAATCAAGGCGTATTTATCATTTAAAGCACTAACACCTATAATGTAAACTGATTTCAATCAATCCGGTCACATATATCAATACAACAGATAAGGCATGTACAAGCCGGTCGCATCCGACGCCGTTATAATTAAGGTAGTATCGATTTTGTATTGATACTGAGCCAGCATTTCATTTGGGATGTGACGTGCAATAGACACATGAACTTTATGAACGTTCAAATGTTTATTATTCATTCTTTCATTTCTTATTTATTTTCAATATATTCTATTCATTCTTTCGTTTAATAAAATGAAGTAGAAAACGAATCAGACTTAAAGCTCAGCTACGGTATTCCAAATCGGATTGAGTTTGAATTTT